CCCCAAAACCCCAAAACCCCAAAACCCCAAAACCCCAAAACCCCAATCGTTATTTAAATTATTGATAGTGAAAATGTTTTATTTAGATGCACCAAAAGGGTTTAGATCAGGGGCTCTGTGCTCATCCATAGAGCTAACAATTGGGACAGCCTCTGTGGAAGGCCTGCTTTCTCTATCTTCTTGCATATAGCTCTCCTCAATGTTAGTGTCTGCTGGCTCTTCTTTATGAACAAAAAATTTGTTATTTATAAGGCTTGCTGATACTAAGGGAACTGAACCTGTAGATTCCTCTGACAGTCTAGGATCTTCTCCCTTTTTAGTTACTTTGGGTAGAGAAGGCGCTTTTACAAGGGCAGTAGGGCTGAAAGATTCAGCTAGGTTTAAATTTGCTTTATTAGGTGTGAATACATTGGTTTGGTCTAAAGTCATTCTTTGGGGAACTAAAGTGATAATAATTTAAACGATATCTCCAAAGTGTAATAGCTTACTCAATAAATTAGCTGATACAACTGGAATATAGTTATCTAAATATTATATTCAATCTAACTACCTGTACTTTTGCGAGGTTCTTCCTTCTTTGGAGAGAACAAACTCATTCTTTTTCTTTTCTTATCCCCTCCTTTCCCATTCAGAGCCTTAACTTTCTTCAAATTTCTCTTCTCTTCTAACGATACCAGCTCAGCTTTGCTTTCTAAATTTTTATTTTCGTAAAAACTCCCAATACACCAAACCTACCAATCCCAATAGAACTCTTCCTGCACCCAAGCTCCTGCATTGACACCGTATGCTTATTCTTCCCCTTCCGAAGAACTCCTACAAATTTACGAGTAAAATTACGCTTGTGGCTTTCCTGAGTGGGATTTTGGGAAGAATTTTCAACCCGATTTTGAGAATTTTTTGAGTGGCCTTCGAGGTAATCGAGGTATTTTGGCTTAGCGTTTGTGTGGTTGATTTTGGGCTTGAAAGTAGCATTTTGGGGGTAATTTTGAGGGGTTTTAAGTGATTTTCGGGATTTTGAAGAGATTTGAGTGGTTAAAGGGTGGGAGTTATTTGAACTTTTGGGTGAAGGATAAGGTTGTCTTTTGGGATACCAGAGGAGCTCTGTTTGGGGTTAGAGGAGAGTTAGAAGGAGTGAAAGGAAGGGATTAAAATATAGCAGAGAGGGTGGTTTTTTAAGGCAAGATCGTCCCAGAGAGTTTTAAATATGTTCAGAGGTAAAAATTCCCCACCAAAATTATTTAACAACAGAAATAAATCTTAGTAGTCTCTTCTTAAGATGATATTTTTATGAAATTACTTAACTCTAATCCATTACTTACGCTTTGCCTTCATCTTGCTTCTTTGCCATACTTGTTTTCTTGAGATGAATTGCTAAAGATTATAATTCTATAGAAACTTCACCCTACTTGTATTTTCGTATCTTTCAACTTGAAGTTGTTGTACTTCTTCCTCAGAGATATTGAGAGTAGCTTCTACATCATTCTGGATTCATTCCTCAGAAGGTTCTGACATATGGTCTGACGCTTCTGGATTGGTTCTAAGACCTCAACACATATTGGATCCCATTATATTTTCTATTAATTTACAGAGCTCAGGGGTTTTGGGGTTTTGGGGTTTTGGGGTTTTGGGGTTTTGGGG